TTGCTCACTAAAGATGTCCGACAGGTCTTGGTATTACCTTGACACCTGTGGGCTGCTGGGAAGTCTGTCTGCAGCGGGGGCTGCAGTTCTGGCTTGCTGGGGCAGCTGGATTTGTGGTCTTTTGGCAACTGTCCAGTTTGATAGGCAGAAGTGGGCCGATGCCTATTCTTAGCTTTCGGTAGCCGTCTTCCCATATGATGGTCAGTCCCCATTTGTCTAGCCAAGCGAGGCTCAATATGATTGACTCGGTCATTTTGGGAGCTATGAAGAATCAGACAGGTTCTCAGTGGTGTCCCATCTCCATCTTAACAAGTTCTGTGACCAATGTGGCAGGGGCTCCTCCTATTAGCATCCCATCGACCTGTTCAAAATGGATGGGGCATGCTAGGGGTCTCGTGCCTATCCCTAGCTGTTGGAGTATGGGGAGGCTAATCCGCATTTGGTGCAGCCAGTGTCTCTGATGGCCTCTACCTCCCCTTGGGCTCCCATTTCCAGGACTACAATCTGGGTTTTGATAGTGAAAGGGTGGATGGCTTCACTTACTATCGGGTCATCTTCGCTTCTGCTCCCTTCTATGGAACCCAGAGGGGTTTCTCTTGCTGGAGTTTCCTCATTCTCAGTTGGAAGAAGAGGAACCTCAACAGCCTGTTTGGCAATTCTCCCCTTGTATGATGGCTTCCTCAGGGTTTTCCTTCCCTGGGATGTGGAGGGGGTCCAGATTTGAAGGACTGGGGTAGCGGCCAGGCATTCGGATGCCCTGGGCCCATATTGACCACATCGGTAGCAGTTGATCGTCCCGGACAATGTGGGTTGCAGTGCATCAGGTAGCTTGACTGGAGTTCGGTGGCCCAGAGGCCTTCTTGCCGGTTTTTCTGCAGTTGGCTTCCAATGGGGGTGGCTTTCCAGGTCCATGGCCACTGCTGTGTTGTACCAGACTTGTATATGCTCCGTAATTCCCTTGATGCCACAGGGTTGTCTGAGATCTGGGTCAAAGGCCTCTTTGAAGTGGTAAATGAGGAGGAGTTCAGGCCAGTCCTTTAAGTTTTCCAGCCAGCCTCCAGAATTCCCACGCTAATTCTTTGGGGGGCAAGCCCGCTTGCTTCAAGGCTTTGATCTACACCTCAGCTTCTATCCGGTGGCCATGTCCTCGAAACAACCTCAGAACAGCTGGCTGAACTCGTTCGCATCATCTAGCTCCAGGGCTACTTAATCGTGTAGTTCAGCTATCCACTCTGCTGCTTCTCCTTCATTCATGCCATCTGCAATTGCCGAAATCGTATCCTGATCAGTCTGGTATTGATTCCCATAGTGATCAATGTGGGACCAAACCCAATTGAGGAAGTAGACCAGCTTCCCCAGGGTCCCACTCTAAACCATGGAGGAGTGGCTGGAGGGGCTGGTTGCGGGGCCAGTGCTGGTTCAATTAGTGATGTCTGCACTAGTGCCTGTGTGGGGCCAGAGCTGCTGTCCATTGATATTGAACCCACCCCTGGCTGGGATAAAAGGGGGATCTGCTTGGCAGGATCCAATCTGAGGACTGGTTGCTGAGGCGGGGTGTTGGATCTCGGCAGTCCCAATGGTGGTCCTTGTACTGCCAGACTGGATTGGCTTAACGGGCCTTGCTGCGGTGCCACTCTGACTCCAGCAGGACCTATCATCCCAGTAGACTGAGCCCGACGGCGCAGGCTATGGTGCAATCCACTTTACGCCGAATGAAATGAGGCCAATGCTCCACTCGGTGCTACTGCAGTCCCTTGGCCCGGAAAAGTGAATGTGGGCTGAGCCAGAATCCATCCAGATGGGCCGGTACTAGGAAGTTGTGTGATGCTGCCCATGCTTTGTTGGTCAAACCGCTCCGGTAGATCCGCCAGTGACTGGCTTTGAGTTGGTGGTGGAAAGTCCCACTCTCGGGAATCGCTGAGGTCAGCCAGTCCCAGTGTTCTCCATTCGAGGGCTTGGGTCTGCTTTGCTCTGCTTGCTCCCATCTGCTCTTCCCACAGCATTGCCCCGGTCAGCAACTCCTGGGGAGGCACGGTTCCTGCAGCCTCGCCCCATAGAGAGGGATCCAGTTGAGTGGCTTGCCAGGGCGCCGGCTCTTTGGGCTGGGCACCCTGTCAGTGTTCTGCTTTGGTGGCCTCCACTGCCTTCACCACAGCTTCAGAAGGGGAGTAGAGGGTCTCGATGTGGACGATCGAGCCAGTCCCAGTGGTTCCTTCTGTGGTCGTTGTGTTCTTCTCCATCTTCCCTAAGTCTTCACGCCACCTGTTGTTGGGTCAGAGCTCAGACAGCACCCTGGAGTTCAGGAAGCTGGTTGAAGTTTTAATGCAGATTCGGGTTAATGTCAGGTTTCCAAGTAATATCCCCAACGAAAGAAGACTCCAAGACTGGAAGTTCCTCAAAGTTCCATTTTATTAGAGATGTCATATTGGCACATCTGGGAAAACCCGAATCTGAAAGCTTCCAGGTTTTCCCCACCCAAAAGAAAGTCCAAATCCCTTTCCCTGCACCCACATGTCCATCACATGGTCCAATCAATGCACCGTCCCAACTAGAGATGCCTCCCTCCAGGTGCAGGCCAAATGTCCTTGACTTTCAGAGAAAGGAATGTTATTATGGCTAGATATCTCCATCACTCCATGCAATCCCCCCTCCCAGTTTCCCGCAGCATTAAATGTGGCAGCCCTGAAGATCCAAAGAAAAAGATGGCCTCCAGGGCTGACAATATAAAGGGCAGTTCTGAAATATAGTAAATATCCTCAAACCTGACTATTTTGTTTAATGTTATCATAATAAAGTGATATGGTCAACTCATTTCTATTTCACGTTGTATTTAAGGTTCAACTTTCACTATGAGAATTAAAAGTGCCTTACAAATTAAAAAGAACGCATATGAGAAGAGTATCAATGCCGATGGTTCTTTAGGCACTAATCAAATTCAATTTAATCAGATAGTTACAGTCATCACAATATCAGCATTGTTTTAAAGTGTGTTCTTCTTGCCTCTATATGTAGAACTAGTCTAGCATTCCAGTATTTCAGTTTAATTAATGTAATTGCTAATTATTGAATGATCAGAAAAGTATTCAATGTGAACATCTCCTCCAGAGGTCTGTTGTTCAGTGTACCTCTGCACCAACTCACTATAAATGAATACACCTCTTCTCCCTCAAGACTTACACTGCCATTCCTGATTAGCCAAGTAAAGACCTATAAACAAAATAAGCAAACTACAGCCCTAGGATCTATTTCTGATACTCTGGAGACATCACCAAAGTCCAGTGTTTAATCACCTAACACAATAACTTGTCTTTTGGATGTACTGAAGAGTGGGATATGCAAAACTGAAGATGTTTTGCTATGGCCTATCCATTCCATTCTCAAATCACTTGCAACACACTTCAAAGTGACCCATGTTTTTCTATAGCAGGTATTTTCTATACCAGATCCCATCAAATTAAGATTTTAAAATCTTAATGTAAACACCTCTTCTAAAAATAATTTTCCCTTTATTTAAAAATAACTTAGCTGAGTTTCTGTCTAAGGTTCACTTCCAATAAGTATTGCCAAAAATGTTCAACATGTTAACTGTGGTTATATCAATTTGGGATACATCAATTTGGGATACATTCCAATGAACAAAAGGTTGGAACTATATTATCTATCTTACTGTTTGGGAAAAAAGCTTTAGAAATTACATTTAACTTTTACAGTCATTAGAAAGTATTCAATCATGTTCATATCCCTGTCAATGAATCCAAAGAATTTGAGTTTTCTCAAATCAATATTTATTTTATTTATTTATTTTATTTATCGTATTTATATGCTGCCCTTCTCCCGTAGGACTCGGGTCGGCTCACAAGATAAAACAACACGACAATAAAATGATAATAATAAATATATTTTAGTCATGCAAGGGCAAAAATTCTCTAAGCAACATCCACATTACTGACATTATGGTACAACATATCCAAGTTATGTAGAGAAAACAAAAGTTAACTAGCCTCATTTGAGAAACAAGGTAAATAATGTATTTTTAAGTTACCAAAAACATCTTTGGAATTCCCTAAAAGTTAAAAATTAGAACACAATCTAGTTTACATGTCATGTTTTTAGCTTTCTTTACTTAATAAAATAGAACAAATAAGAAAAAAATAAAATAACAAAGAGAGAAGAATAAGAAAGCAATATAACTATCTTATGTGCATAGAGGCTATATATACCAAATCATATATGACAGTTTCAATAAAAGATCTTCTAAAAGTGTCACTAAGCCTAACATCCTTTATCCACAGGTAAAATAGTGTAAGAGTAATGTTTATTTATTCACATTTATATGACTGCAATCCAATCAAATTCTCTATTTGCCTGCATTACAGCACAAAGTTATCAGACTGTAAACAACAGACTTATGGTACGCATCACTCCTCAGGAACAAGCACTGCAGATTCAAATCTTATTCTTTTCCTATGTCAAATACATTAAATAGACCTTTGCTTGATTGCATTAAAGATAGATTTGCATATGGAAGAATCTGAGTTTGATTTATTTTCAAGAAGATACAAAAAATCAATTTTAATCTATCCAACTATCCATAGTTCAGTATATTGTGACTTGATTATACAATTAGCCGCAATTTCAAACTATATTTCAATCTGCTATATACATACATACGTACGTATGTACATACATACATACATACATACATACATACATACATACATACATACATACATTCCCAAAAATAAGACCCTGTCTTATACTTTTTTGAATCCTGAAATAACTTCAGGGTTTTTTGAACCCTGAAATAACCAAACGATAACTTGCTTGGCCTTAGTGCCATGCGCTCAAAAGCCCAATTGGGCTTATTATCAATAGGATGTCCTATTTTGGGGAAACACGATACACACACACACACACCATATATAAAACAATAATGTAACCAAACCAAATGTTGCAAAATAAAAAGATCACAATGAAACAGACACTTCTTGGCTCCTTACCTTTTCTTGGTTCTGGCTTTTTCTTGGGTCTGGTGTTTTGTTGAGCTGTTATTTGTGTCACACAAAGAACACACACAAGAAAACAAATTATTCGGAATGGCATTTTGCTGCTGCTGCCCTCAAAGAGATTGGAACAAAACTGGATTTGGTCTGCCTAGAGTCAAGCTTCTTAACATGGCATTAACTAAAAATGTCTGGCCAAAAAACAGTTCCAATTTCTTCTGTAATGTTCAAGTGATTATTTTGCAGATTTCTGGGAGGGATTCAATTCTTAAAGGCATTCCAACTAAGCAGGAAGAAGTATATATGTGGAAACATGATGCTTCTTTACTTTTCTGGGCCTTTTTAAAATTTGCAAATTAAAACCAAGACTGACAAGACTTAGTTCCATTATTTCATAGTCCTAACAGTGCTTCTGCCCAACTTTAACCAGCCATTGTAGCTGGTTTTTATGAACAAATCAACATACATTTATTTTGTATTAAAATTTATAACTCAGTTTCCCTATTCAGTAGAGGCATTCAGGCTAGCAAAATTCAGTGAACGTCTGAAATAAAAACAAGTTTATTTATTTATTTATTATTATTTATTAATTCAATTTGCATGCCTCCCCTCTCCGAAGACTCAGGGTGGCTAAAAATGAAGTTTTTAGGGCTAAGGGCTAAGTTAAAAATGAAATAATAAAGGATAAATAATTTAAAACAAGTTCCAAAGTCCTCTGGTATCTTAGGGCTATTCTTCATTGCCATGTTAATTTGCATTCTTCACATCCTTGAATTGATAGAAACTATGCATCAATTGAGCTACCCAAAAGCCAATGTCTCTTTTGCCTCAGGGACAAGACCGGTGCTGTTCTTATAGTTTTAAAGAATGACAATTTAAACACGATTTACAAGCTTGATGGATTTCTCTGTATTTACTATATTTATATTTACTGTATTAATATTGGTGGAGTGACTTGAGTGATTCTGGGCATGTTCCCAGGATGGCTTTAGACACCTTTTAAGTAGCCTGAATGTTAGATCACCAATGCATGTAACTGTCACTTTAGGGCTTTTTGAAACTGAATTTGCCAAGCTTCTGGAAGACTGCTAGTCCTATGGGATTTAAACACATGAATACCACTCATTTGGAAAGATACAAACTTTGCCCCAAAAGTAGCCTAACTGACAGGAGAGATGCGTGGCAGAAGAGCATAATTTGAAATAAAAGGTTCAATCTGAGCTTCTCTGTCATGCATGAGACTTCACAGTTGAGTGTAATAAGTTGGGTAAATCAAGAGAGAGCAATTATAAAGTATTGCAAGGAAGTGATATAATTTGAGTAGCAAAAGGTCACAATCAACAGCACCTTAATCAATTCATGCCCTTCAAATGCACTTATGTGATCGGTTAGTCAAGCTAAAAGGATTTTCTACAATTTTATTTATTTATTTATGTATTTATTTATTTATTTAATTAATTAATTAATTAATTAATTAAATTTAATTTATATACCGCCCTTCTCCCGAAGGACTCAGGGCAGTGAACAGCCATAATAAAAACAATGTACAAAAATAGAATTTAAGAGAAGATTAAAATAATTAAATCATAGGCCGAATTTAAAACTCTCATTTTAAAACCAATTTTAAAACCCCATTAAAACCAAATTAAAATCATTTATCCCATCAGAGCGGCTTGCTGGAATAACAGGGTCTTCACTGCATGATGGAAGGCGTGGAGGTCAGGGATCCTTTGTATGTCTGGGGGTAATTCATTCCAGAGGGCAGGGGCCCCCACAGAGAAGACTCTCCCCCTGGGGGTCGTCCATCTACATTGTTTGGCTGACGGCACCCTGAGGAGGCCCTCTCTGTGTGACCGTACTGGTCAGTGGGAGGCAATCAGTGGCAGAATGCGGTCTTGTAGATAGCCAGGTCCTAAGCTATGGAGCACTTTAAAGATGGTAACCAACACCTTGAAGCGCACCTGGAAGACCACTGAGAGCCAGTGCAGCTCGCGCAAGAGGGGTGTTACATGGGAGCAATGGGTTGTCCCCATTATTACTCACGCGGCCGCATTCTGGACCAGTTGGAGCCTCAGGGTGCTCCTCAAGGGGAGCCCCATGTAGAGAGCTTACAATAGTCCAGACAGGAAGTGACGAGGGCATGAGTGACTGTGTGCAAGGCGTTCCGATCCAGAAAGGGGCGCAACTGGGAAATCAGGCGAACCTGATAAAAAGCCCCCCTGGCCACGGCCGTTATATGATCATCCAAAGACAGCCGTGAGTCCAGGAGGACGCCCAAGTTGCGAGCTCTCTCTGAGGGGAGCAAGATCTCATCCCCAATAGTCAGCGATGGTATAAGCTGACTATATTGGGACTCCGGGAACCACAGCCACTCAGTCTTGGAGGGGTTGAGTCTGAGCCTGTTCCTCCCCGTCCAGATCTGCACGGCTTCCAGGCAACGGGACATCACATCAAGGGCTTCATTGGGATGGCCTGGGGTTGAAATGTACAACTGCGTGTCATCGACATACAGTTGACACTTCACCCCAAAGCCACGGATGATCTCGCCCAGGGGCTTCACATAAATGTTAAACAGGAGGGGCGAGAGAACCGATCCCTGTGGCACCCCACAAGTAAGGAACCTCGAGATCGACCTCTAACCTCCCATCAACACAGATTGCGTACGGTCAGAGAGGAAGGAGGAGAACCACCGTAAAACGGTGCCTCCCACTCCCAACCCCTCTAGCTGACACAGCATGATACCATGATCGATGGTATCAAAAGTCGCTGAGAGGTCTAGGAGGACCAGAACAGAGGAGCAACCCCTGTCCCGAGCCCTCTAGAGATCATCAACCAATGCGATCAATGCCGTTTCCGTGCTGTAACCCGCCCTGAAGCCCGACTGGCACGGATCTAGATAGACAGCTTCATCCAGGAATTGAGGAATAACTCCCTTAATAGAAACTGCAAAGGAGCAGCAGTCATAACAACACCAATCTCAGCCAACAGCACTCTGAATGGAATGGGACAACTCACTGCAGTCAACTTGCCACAGCCAGCTCGCCATGGATAACTTGCCATGGCCAATTTGCTGCAAGACAACTCACTATAGCTAACTTACCACGGGCCAACTAGCTGCGGGACTATTCAACAATTTAATTATTTAAAATAATAATTAAAAATAGTTTTTGTTATTCACATTTAATTTTGTCCCTCCTTTGGCATCCTTTCTTTAATGATTCTATTCCATCATTTCTTTGATATTAGTCTCTTGTCACACAGCCAGTTGTTTTGCAGCTAGTTGGCCACAGTGAGTTGGCAGTGGTGAATTGACCATGGCAAGGTGTCCTAGATCCGTGATACGTTGTGTAGACTTCTGAGAATTACATGGATTAAACCAAGAAAATAAACAATGGATCATATAACAAATCAATCCAGAATTTTCCCTTAAAACAAATATTCTAATTCAATTTATCATACTTTGGACATTGACAAAGCTCTCTGGAGAAGCCTATGCTGGTAAATGTGGAAAGAAAAGGAAGAGGACAACTAGCTGCAAGGTGGATAATTTGATTACGTATAATGGCAATGGGTGCAGTCTTGGAAGACCTAGAAGGTTAGATTGGGGACAGGTTCATCCTAGAGAAAGTCTATGTGGCCATCGGCATGGCGCGAAAAGAGAGTTGAGGGGCTTTTAAAGTTTGTTTTTAGGTAAGATTTTAAGGGGTTCGGGGGTAACCAGAGTGGGTTTGGGGGAAAACCCACCGGGGCTGGGTCTGGGTCTGGCAGGGGGCTGTGGCATTAGGATTGTGGGGTCGGATGTTAGGGAGGGGGCTAGAGTCCAATTTTATGAGGGCCGTTCCATCAGTACTGTGGGTGGGAGGGACAGATATGGTGGGAGCAGGGGGCCATATCATGTTTCGGGAGTGCGCACTCATTGTCTTCGAACGATTGCGCACTCCGGTCCCCAATGCTCTGCTCGTTCCCTGGGTTGCACAGATCCTCAGGGCCTGGGCCTTCGGCTGATGTTATGCAATGCCAGGTCCATGGTAAATAAAGCCCCCCTCATTTGCGATCTTGTTCAGGAGGGGGGAGCGGACCTGGCGGGTATTACGGAGACCTAGTTGGGCCAGGAGGGAGGGGTCCCCCTCGTTGAAATGTGCCCACCCGGTTTTCACGCATTTCATCAGCCAAGGTCACAGGGGAGGGGTGGGGGGGTGGCGGTTGTCATTAAAAAAGGTCTTGGGCCGAGGGAGGTCACTGTGCCTCAGACTGCCGGATGTGAGTCCCTCCTTGTGAAGTGGAGTCATGGGGTACAGATGGGCGTGCTGATCACGTACCTGGCTCCCTGCCACGTGGCTGCAGCCCTGCCCGAGCTGCTCAACATTATAGCCATGGTGGCGGTTGATACCCCCAGGCTTATGGTCATGGGGGATTTTAACTTGCCATCCATCGGTGAGATGTCTGAGGCAGCTCAGGAGTTCATGGCTTCCATGACAGCTATGGATCTGACCCAGTTAGTTCATGGCCCTATTCACACGGGGGGAAACACGCTGGACTTGTTTTTTGTCTCTGGTCAGTGGTTGAGTGATCTTGAGATAGGGGATATAGCGACTGAGCCCTTGTCATGGTCAGATCACTCCCTCCTTTGCTTTGACCTTCAAACCGCCACACCCCACCACAGGGAGGCGGAACCAATGAGATGGTACCACCCCAGGCGCCTGATGGAACCTGATAGGTTCCAGATGGATCTTGGGCCATTCCCTGAGGCACTGGCTCACGCCTCGACTGAAGACCTAGTGGCCGCCTGGGACAGGGCGGCCGCTGGAGCTTTGGATCAGGTCGTGCCTTTGCGGCCTCTGACCCGGCGCCGGTCTCACCTGGCTCCTTGGTTCACCAAGGAGCTGAGGGAGATGAAGCGCTGGAAAAGACGCCTGGAGAGCAGTTGGAGGGCCAGCCTTTCTGAATCCGACCGAACACTGTAAGATCTCATATTAAGACTTACCAAGTGGCGATAAAAGCGGCAAAATGTAACTATTTTGCCACTCTTATTGCATCATCAGATAATCGCCCGGCCACCGTGTTTAAAGTGACCCGCTCCCTGCTCCACCAGGGAGCACGGGAGGACCCCTTGGAGGGCAGGGCTGAGGACTTTGTGCAGTATCTGTATGACAAAATTGCTCAGATTCGGGAAGACTTGGACTCTAACTGGGTAGATTCAGGAGGGATGATGGAGGCAGGTCTTGAGAATGTTATCTGGGAAGAGTTTGATCCTGTGACTCCTGAAGACGTGGACAGGATTCTGAGTAGACTGAGCACAGCCACGTTTATTGGACCTGTGTCCCTCCTGGTTGGTGTTGGCCTCTCGGGAGATGACACGAGGCTGGCTCCAGGGGATTATAAATGCTTCACTGAGTGAAGGTGACTTTCCCGCCACCTTGAAAGAGCCAGTGGTGAGGCCTCTCCTCAAGAAGCCTTCCCTAGACCTTGCAGTGTTAGCAAATTATCGTCCAGTCTCCAACCTTCACTTTGTGGCAAAGGTTGTTGAGAGTGTGGGGGCACGACAGCTTCCCCAGTACCTGGATGAAACGGTTTATCTGGATCTGTTCCAGTCAGGCTTCAGGCCTGGATACAGCACAGAAATGGCATTGGTTGCGTTGGTTGATGATCTCTGGAGGGCTCAGGACAGGGGTTGTTCCTCTGTCCTGGTCCTATTAGACCTCTCAGCGGCTTTTGATACCATCGAACATGGTATCATGCTGTATCAGTTGGAAGAGTTGGGGCTGGGGGGCACCATGTTGCGGTGGTTCTCCTCCTTTCTCTCCGACCGGTCGCAGTCTGTGTTGGCAGGGGGGCAGAGGTCGACCCCGAGGCGCTTTATATGTGGGGTGCCACAAGGGTCGGTCCTCTCGCCCCTTCTGTTCAACATTTATGTGAAGCCACTGGGTGAGATCATCCGTGGTTTCGGGGTGATACTCAGCTGTACATCTCCACCCGGACCACCCCAATGATGCCCTTGAGGTGATGTCTCCTTGCCTGGAGGCCGTGCGGATCTGGATGGGGAGGAACAAGCTCAGACTCAACCCTTCCAAGACCGAGTGGCTGTGGTTTCCGGCATCCTGATATAGTCAGCTGGCTCCATTGCTGACTATTGGGGGTGAGATCTTGTCCCCCTCAGAGAGGGTTCGCAATTTGGGTGTTCTCCTGGATGCATGGCTGTTCTTGGAAGATCATATGATGGCCGTGGCCAGGGGAACTTTTTATCAGGTTTGCCTGATACACCAGTTGCATCCCTTTCTGGACCGGGATGCCCTGCGCATGGTCACTCATGCCCTATTCACGTCCCGTCTGGACTACTGTAATGCTCTCTACATGGGGCTCCCCTTGAAGAGTGCTCGGAGGCTCCAACTGGTCCAGAATGCGGCTGCGCGGGTGGTTATGGGGGCGACTCGGTGCACCCACGTAACACCACTCCTGCGTGAGCTGCACTGGCTCCCGGTGGTCTTCCG